TATAATTTACCTTTAGTTTCAGAGCTTCTTTATAACTATACTCTGATAGAATGAGAACAAAGGATGTTAGGACATAAAAATCAATGACTTTTCATAAAATTCAGTAGTTTTGTCATTCTGTATCCCGGTGACCCTGCCTCTCAGCTTCCTGGTGGCTCCCATTCTAGGACAGAGTCTAAGGAGTCTGCAGCCAGGAGCTGCTGTCTGCCTCATACTTCTTCAGCCCAGGAATAACCAAAGCAAATTGTTTACTTTTCCAATGAATTGGAAGATGAAAAAAGAATGAAGGTTCTCTTGAAAGCTGTGTCTGATACTCTGGCCAATATCACAAAGCCTTAACTGATTCCGTTCCATCCCTGACCCTTCCAGAAAGACATACCTGTGTTCCCCACACTCACTTTCTACTCTGCCCCTCCCACTTCTCAGAGCAGTGTTTCATACCTGGACTGCCAAGCAGCCCACAGGGCCGGGAGAAGAGCCAGTATATTTAGGAACTTGAGGCCAGGCATGGTGGCTCACACCTGTAATCCCAGCACTTTGGGAGGCCAATATAGGTGGCTCGCTTGAGCTCAGGAGTTCGAGACTAGCCTGTGCAACATGGCGAAAACCTATCTCTACTAAAAATACTGAAATTAGTCGGGCATGGTGGTGGTGCGTGCCTGTACACAGATCCCAACTAATCGGGAGGCTGAGGCAGGAGAATCGCTTGAACCCAGAAGGTGGAGGTTGCAGTGAGCCAAGATTGTACCACTGCACTCCAGCCTGGGTGACAGAGCAAGATTCTGTCTCAAAAAAAAAAAAAAAATTAGGAACGTGAAAACTCTTTTTTTTTCCCCTTTTTGAGACAGGGTCTTCCTCTGTCACCCAGACTGGAGTACAGTGGCATGATCTTGGCTCACTGCAGCCTCCACCTCCTGGGCTCAAGCAATCCTCCCACCCCAGCCTCCCAAGTAGCTTAGACTACAGGCACGTGTCACCACACCTGGCTAATTTTTATATTTTTAGTAGAGATGGGGTTTCGCCATGTTATACAGACTAGTCTCGAACTCCTGAACTTAAGCTGTCTGCCCACCTCAGCCTCCCAAAGTGCTAGGATTATAGGCCTGAGCCACTGTGCCTGGCCAATAACCAACTCATAACACTTAAGAAACAAAGTGTTTGAATTGTGTTTCTACTAAATTGCTTCAGTCCTATTCAGTGCTAGCCTTTGCAAAGCAAACAAAAATATGAGTGCATTGTCAGATTTTCCAAAGGCCAAACAACCTTAATTTTGATTTGTTCATCTAGCTTTTTGTAAAAATTTTGTACTTTTTATAAACATATTTCTTTTGTAGTATTTTCTTTTTCTCACTAGTCATTTGAATTTAAAAATAACAGTTCTCATTGCAATACTTCAGAAAATTCAGAAATAACCAAAGTAACATGGTCTCCTGACCCCATCCCCTTCAGTTTCTTCCTCTTTGTTATAATTTGCAAACTACAATTTTGTATGTATCCTTCCATACTTGTTTCAGTGCTCATGCAGATACATTGTATACACATGCATACACACACAAGTGCACACACAAGATTGTGTGTTTACACGTTATATACACTGTGTTGCCATTATGTGATCCTCATTGTATAAATTATTCAGTACCTTGTATTTTTCACTTAAAAGTATATGAATAGATATCCTTCGAAATCTGTACTTTCCACCTGTCATATTCTTTTTATTACTTGCACAGAATTTTCTGTAAGACTGTACTGTCATTTAAGTCAACATTTCTTCCCCTTTGGGGACCATCCAGGCTGTGTCTGGTTTTCTGAGAATAAATATTTTGTTGCTGATAAACTTCTGTGACATGTATCTTTATGTATTTCTGTTGAATACAGTCCAGAATGTACACATTTAAATTTGTAAACACTGTCTGGCTGAGCGTGGTGGCTCACACCTGTAACCCTAGCACATAGCAAGGCCAAGGCAGGTGGATCACTTAAGGTCAGGAGTCTGAGACCAGCCTGGCCAACATGGTGAGACTCTGTCTCTACTAAAAATACAAAAATTAGCCAGATGTGGTGGTACGTGACCGTATTCCCAACTGCTCAGGAGGCTGACGCATGAGAATTGCTTGAGCCTTGGAGGGAGAGGTTGCGATGAGTTAAGATCACACTACTGCAGTCTAGCCTGGAAGACAGAGCGAGACTGTCTCAAAAAACAAATGTTAACATTGCCAGAGTACTTTTTAATAGATGATTTATCTTAGTACTTTACAAATTTGTCAACAGATCATTACTGCTGAGATATGTTTAAAGTCTTAATGGTAATTAAAGCCTTTTTCTATAGCTGTGCTTTTCTGCTTGACCACCTCAAGTTGATTATATTTACACTTTTGTTGTTTGAAAAAAAAATCTCTTTTTCACACCAAGTTAGCTTTATACTAAGTTCACTTAATTGTTGATTATATTCACTTAGTGAGAACTAAAATGCCATCTAGGTCAATGTAACTTAGATGCCGCCTTTGCCAGACTCAACCCAAAACCTCCAATAAATGATTAGTTTATTCCTAAAATGAACTCAGAGTTTATTAAAGACTGCAGAGATTTAAGAAGTCGTTCAGCTACTTGATGATAATAAACTGAAACTGTAAAGGTGGTGAGTAGCTGAGCTTTTGGAGTGTTTGGGAATTCTAGACATTTGGCAAATGTATAAGATAGGGTACCATTATTATGACCCAAACACTCCACGTTAATTCTCTGCTGGGGAGTTCTGTGCAATTTGTTTATTTAGTAAGAGAAAAAAACAGACTAACAGAAGACAGTTTACAAAACAATACAATTTGTAAAAATATAGAGGGAGAAATCCTTTTTTCCCTCCCTACTGAAACTGCAAACACATCTTTATCAAGGCTATTGGCCACAATTTAGTGAATTTATCATACATCCCTGTAGGGCAACTTGGTTATATGTATCAAAACTCTTAAAAATCCTAGCACTTTCAAAGGCCGAGGCAGGTGGATCACCTGAGGTCAGGAGTTTGAGACAAGCCTGGCCAACATGGCAAAACACTGTCTCTACAAAAAATACAAAAATTAGCCAGGTGTGACGGTGGGCACCTATAATCCCAGCTACTCAGGACACTGAGGCAGAAGAATCGCTTGAACCTGGGAGGCTGAGGTTGCAGTGAGCCAAGATCTCACTACTGCACTCCAGCCTGGGCAAAAGAGTGAAACTCCATCTAAAAAACAAAAACCCTTAAATATATTATTTAATTCTCTTCTTAGAAGTTTATGAGTAAAAAAATTTGAAAACAGCCTAATGAAAAAGTAGGATAAAAGTTAAAATACATTATAGTAAACTAGATTATTGAGCCATTAAAGATCATATGTGTAAAAAAGAATGACATGGGAAATAGATACTATACAATAAGTAGGAGAAAGCAGCTTGAAAATTAGGATCATTATTTCCCAGAATACTCCATTAGATGCTGAGATTTTCCATGGCCAGATTAGCTTGAGAAATGCTTAGCTGATTGTAATTAAACAAATATTTGCATTATGCATTGCAGGACTAATCTTGTTAGAGATTCATAGAACATAAAATAAGTATTTTCCAAATGTCTTGACTTCGAAACTTTTTCTAAGGAATACTTATCTTCTTTTAGGACACTTAGGTTGCATAGAACATGTAGCATAAGGAAGTGCCAATATGGCCGGCACAGTAGCTTATACTTTGTAATCCCAGCACTTTGGGAGGCCCAGGCAGGTGGATCACTTGAGGTCAGGAGTTTGAGACCAGCCTGGCCAACATGAGGAAATCCAGCTCCACTAAAAATACAAAAAGTAGCCAGGCATGGTGATACGCATCTGTAGTCCCAGCTTCTCTGTAGGCTGAGGCACAAGAATCGCTTGAACCTGGGAGGCGAAGGTTGCAGTGAGCCGAGATCATGCCACTGCACTCCAGCCTGGGCAACAGAGACCTTGTCTCAGGAAGAAAATAAAACGCAGCAATATGTTGTCGAGTCTCATTTTTTGCTTTTAAAAACAGTATATAAATGTATTATATGTTTGCGTATATATGCTTCTGTTCATTTGTGTGCATGTAGGCATAGAAAAAAGCTGGAGAAAATATATGAAAAGCTCATCTCAAGGTTGTGAAATTACTGATAATATTTTTCTTTATATTAGCTGAATTTCCCAAATCTTCCACACACACACTCAAAAAAATCACTTCCAACACTGAAAAAACTGTTTTTAAACTCCCATAGAGTTAATAAAAATCACTAGTAGAAAGAGATTGAAAGGAGATCATACAGAAAAGAAAACAAGCTTTGGAGTCAGATCCGAGTTCTTGTTTGTGATCTTGGGCAAAGCATTGAACTTGCAAAGTAAGAATAGAGTTAATACCTCTTACAGGGCTATTGTGAAAATCGTGTCAGGTACCATACAGACATGTCTAATATGTGACTTTACATTTACAAAGATTTTGTTATTTGAGATTTTCAGTAGTGATTACATGTGTAGGAAAGTACCTCTGTAAATGAAGTTTACTGTGTATTGGGGTAAACGTTTTTCCTGTACAAACAGACTCCTACAATGATGAATGAAGTGCTTTTGTTCTTAAAGGGTGTGGTTCCCTGTGTTGAATTGGAGGGAAATGGTTCGAGACTAACTTAGATGATTTCCATTTAATTTTGAGTCCGAATTCTTCCCCGGACCTCTTGCTTTCAGCTCTTGTCAAATAGTTGTCATAAAGATAAGATTTCACTTACCATGCTCCATTACCTGAGTACCAGACCCTTCCTGTGGCATTTTTCAAATTAAAAAAAAAAAACTATGAAAGTGTTTAGTCAGTTTCTCGTGGAACTGTAGAATTTCTCATTGAGAAGATTATCTCTTAGTATATAACACATAATCACTTTAAAATGTTAAGATTTTGGTGCTGTGAATGATAAAGTATGTTTTCACACTTTTTTCATCTGATTTTTGCAATGCTTTCTTTTTTCTCTATTTCTCACATAGCAACTCTACAGAAAAAAGCCAGGTTTGGCCATCACGTTTGCAAAGCTGCCTCAAAATTTGGACAAAAACCGATATAAAGATGTGCTGCCTTGTGAGTATCCGGCATGAATGCCTCCTTCCCCCCTCCACTGAGATAATGTTTCCCTTTTTAAAACAGATTGTCTGGTATTCTGGAACGATTTTCAGTGTGTCTGTAAACACCAGCGTCTTTACTGCAGCCATTTCAGACTCTCAACAGTTGGGGAATAGTGTTTATGCTAATGTGGCAGAGCTGCAGATGGGGCTGGGAACTGAACTCTGGTTTACTTGGTATGATAAAAATAATGCTCGGAATGATTGGTAATTTTTTCTCTTCCCTGCAGATGACACCACCCGGGTATTATTGCAGGGAAATGAAGATTATATCAATGCAAGTTATGTGAACGTAAGTTAGGAATCTGGATGATGCTAAAGAGCACATTCACCGCTGTAATGATGATGATGAGGGCCTGTGTGGGGCTTTGCAGTTACCAAAGCGCTTTCCTGTTCACCGTCGCATATCAGCACCGCAGCAGCCACGGGAGGGAAGGCAGAATAGTCTCATTTTACAGAGGAGGAAACTAAGGTTCGGAGAGTTAAAATAATTTGAAAGGTCACAAAGCTCACGGAAGAGGAGACGAGACTTGTTCTGTGTTTCTAATTCAGTCTTCCGCCTGCCTCTGTACTGAGCTGCTTCCATTCAGGTGTTTGTTTCTGCCAGTGGCATGTTTGGAACTGTTTCTCTCCATGTAGTTAGTGTCATCCTGCCAAAAAAAAAAAAAAAAAAAATGAAAAACAAAACCTTCTTTGTACATATAACCCAAAAAGAAAAAGTGGAATGTTTCACGTGTTATGGGAAAAGCACTTGTTTTCTCTTTGCAAGTGCCTATCTAAACTTCCATTCCTTCTATCTGAACCTGGGGTCAGACTTTCTGTAGGCAACCAGATAGTGATATGTGGTCTTTGCATTTGAAATGTAACCACTTAAAAAAGATTAAAAGCCACTCTTAGCTTGCAAGGTGGCAGGCAGATTTGGCCTTCAGGTGATACGTGGTCTGCCAACTCCTAAACAGACAGATGATTTCTCAGATTAAGTTCTCAAGTTAGAACAGATTGTTGAGAAATGCCCTAATAAAAACTGGTCTCATCCGTGATTCCACCTGTTCCAAAGCGTCCATGGATTCAGTGACCCTCACTTCAACATCCCCAGTATCTTAAAAGCAGAGCATCAGAAACGTTAGGGGCAGCAACATCACAAAGACCAGTCTTTTCATGCAATCCCAGGACTGAGGAAGCCATTTACCCAAGCACCAGCCAAACCACGAATTAGAAGACTTCCTTTACCTTGCCTACCTGAGAGTGAGTGAATCCCAGTGGCAGCCCAAAGCTCAGCCGGTTCTGAGTGCTCTGTCCAGAGGGGAAAAAGGAAATATGGAGCAGGTCTGTTTCTACCTGAAATACTCATTTCAAAACATTTCAACATTTAATATCAAGATTGATCAACTTTATGATACAAGCATTGGAAGCCATGCAGAAAGCAAAGTGCACCCAGAATTGGTGGCGTAAACCTGTATGGGTCTGTACTTTAAATAAATGTAAATTGATTTTGATAGAAAACTCTGCAGAGAGAAAGACTTAGGGGGTAGGAATGGTATATACTGCTAAAAATGTAGATAGCTAGTATCGATTCTATTCAGGATAGAGCAATGAAAGTCATTTAAACTCTTCTGCCGTTGCACAGAGTTCTGATTTTTGCCTACTGAGTACCACACACTGTTATCTTAAAGATCTAATGCTGGTGTTGTCAGATCTTTTTTCAAGGAGTTTTAGAAGTAACTTGTTTGATTTTTCTTATTTGCTATGAATTGATAAAGAGATCTTTTTCTGGTGTGATGCCAATTAGCAAGTGGAAGTTTAAAACCCAGTTCCCTATCTACCTTGTGGCAGCAACAGAGTCTAATACTTGACCAATTTCTTGCCAGATGGAAATTCCTGCTGCTAAACTTGTGAACAGGTACATCGCCGCTCAGGGGCCTCTGCCGCATACCTGTGCACAGTTTTGGCAGGTCGTCTGGAATCAGAAACTGTCACTCATCGTTATGTTGACAACTCTCACAGAGCGAGGGCGGGTAAGTAGCTTGATTTCCAGTTCACATGTGTGCAGTGTCACACCATGCTCTGTGGAGCGCCAATCTCAGTGCTGGGCAGGGTCGTCAGAGTCTCCTGGTCCAGCCTGTATGTGACCCTAAATCTCCTCTACAGAGCAACCAATACACACCCAGTGACAGGAAGCTCAGCCCTCCTTCTGCCCAGTCCCACCTTGGATCCATTATAACGGGCCAGAAGGCACTTCTTCTAGCCTTTCTTCATGTGCCTCAGAACCCCAGCAGTGACATGGCCTTGACCACCCAGGACAAGTGCTGGTCCTGAAAGAGCAACGTGCGTACCAGGTTCACAGTGGCCTTTGTAAAAAGTAGAAGTTACATCACTGTGCCATTTTCTGTAGAATCCGTTGAGGCAGCTCGGTGCTGTCCCGTTTTATCTGTCTGGGCTACTCTTTTCCCTGTAATGTTGACTCTGCCTTTTCAGCAGAAAGGTCATTCTTCTCCTCAGAGAAAAGGGAGCTCACCCCTGCCCAGGAAAGGTCTGTTGTCTTAGGTTTGGTTGGTGACAGACGTTCTGCCCTGGATAGCAGCCCCCTTCTTTCCTTCATTTGGCTCGTTCCAGCTCAGGATATAATGCCCTGGGCCCTGGGCGGTGGCTCACGCCTATAATCCCAGCACTTTGGGAGGCGAGGCGGGTGGATCATGAGGTCAAGAGATTGAGACCATCCTAGTCAACAAGGTAAAATCCCATATCTACTAAAAATACAAAAATTAGCTGGGCATGGTGGTGCACGCCTGTAGTCCCAGCTACTCGGGAGGCTGAGGCAGGAAAATTGCTTGAACCCAGAAGGCGGAGGTTGCAGTGAGCCGAGATCATGCCATTGCACTCCAGTCTGGGTAACAACAGCGAAACTCCATCTCAAAAAAAAAAGAAGGAAAGAAAGAAAATGCGCTTCCTGTGATCCAGGAGGCCTCATCTTCCCCTGGCCGCTCCTGTGGCTGCTGCCCTGCTGGCTCTGTGCTGCTGACAGCCCCCCTCTTTTGTTGATGTCCACTCTGCACCTGAGCTTATCTGCGGTCTCCCTTGTGACTCCGAGGGTTTCTTTGTTTCCCAGTGCTTTCCTTCTCACTGAAGCCATTCCAGCTGCTTCGTCAGTTTCCTGCATTAGTGATTCCCATCTCCTCTGAAGTCTAGCATTCCCTTCACTATCCCTGACCCTGGAACTTAACCTCCTCTGTTTATCCATTTGTAGTAACCTGTTCTGAAATCCAGGGTGCATGCTTCCTCCCTCTCCTGTTGCAAACTCTTGGATGACAGGATAACCTCAGCCCTTTATCCTGAAGGCCCTAACCTGTCCACATCACTGCTCACCAGTTCTTCCAGATTAGGAGTCCATCACTCCAGGCAACAACTTTGCCCCTTTCCCTGACAGATGAAACTTTCAGCGTCTCCCATTTGTTTTCTCCCATATCATGCATTTACTAGATTGGGAGTATCAGCACGTGTGCAGCTGGCCAGAGTCCATACCATGCATTTAGTGGAGTAGGACTCCCAGCAGGTATGCGGCTGGCTGGAGTCCGCACCCCCAAGCTGCGCTGCTCTCAGGTCTGCAGGTGCAGAGAGAGCCTCAAGCCTCCTTTGAAGCTTCATATCCCCAGCGATCAGTGGGACACTCCCTGTGAGATACTTGATTTCTCCCTTTTTAAATTCCTACCCAAAATGTTTTTCTTTGTGCTCTCCCTTGAGGCTCATGGGTTTCTTCTTAGAAACATGACTTTACAATTGAAAAAGTTATTCTCCCTCACTTTCCATCAGAGATGTTTCTTTTGAAGAGAAATACTATTTTCTACGTCTGTATGTGATTAATACAGGTACTCTTTCTGGCCCCGCTGGCTGACAGAGGGAGGGCTTTGAGATCAGAGAAGGCATTTGAGTTCTAGCTCTAGCACTTTTCACCGTTTAGCCTTGCACAGGGCTCTAAGCCTCAGTTCCCTCATCACTAGAGAGGAGGTAGTAATGCCTGTCTCTTGGGGTTGTTTTGTGAATTAAGAATGAGCTACCCTAGACCGGCTGCCCATCCCATAGTGGGTGCTCCATGTGGCGTAGTAAGTCAGGATCCTGCCCTCCTCATCTCTCAGGGCAGGGAGGTAGGTTTGCTGCTCTGGGTGATATTAGGGGCCTTTGGGTTGCCACGAGGATCATATGAGGTGACAGGATTAGGTTTGGGGGAGCACAAAGCTCTACAAACCCCCTTGCTCTTGTTATCTGTTAAGGACACTGCATGGTAAAATATGCAGTTAGGCAACGAGGCTCTTCCACAGGGAACCGATCTCTAAGTCAGGCTTCATCAGCCCCTCTGGTTGGTTCAGCAAATGGATATAGGCACCGATTCCTTCCACCTCCTGAACCCAGACCCACCTGCTTATTTGTTGATAGGACACATCTACCCGAGTATCCTCACATACAAGGTGCCCGAAGCTGAAGCTGTCAGCTACACACCTGCACCCAGGTGGCCACACATGAGCTCACCACCCTGGCCAGTGGCACCCATCTGCCCAGTCACCCAAGCCAGGAACCTGGAATTGGTCTTGGCCCCTCCTTTCTCTTATTTCCCACGTCCACTCACCACAGCCTGCCATCATCGGTCTCCCTCTCCATCCCCAAGACCCCTGCCTTCTCTCAGAGCTTTTGTATTTCTCTTCCAGGAGGAGCAATAGCCTCTCCTTAGTGGCTTCGTGGCGTAGAGGCTCCCCCTCCCCACGTCTGGTCCATCCGTTGGCACAGCTTTCAGCAAGACCTTTCCAGAGGGTTGCCTGATCCAGCCATTTCTCTGCTCAAACCTTCTGGTGGCTTCTCATATGCACCAAGCAAAGCCTCACCTTGAGACTGACTTGTACCTTCTGTGCAGGTGTATCATTCTGTCATTCCCTGGGTATACCACATGCCTCTTTACCTCTTAACCATGTGTGTCCCATTCCTTCTGCCTGAATGATCCATCCTTGCCTTGCCAACCTGATGGAGACCCTCGTCCTTCAGTGCTGAGATTCCTGTGCTCTCTCTCCAGGGTGTTGCCTCCCTCTCCTGTGTGAGCCTTCCTTCTTTTGACCACATTCCCCACACCAGATTCGAGAGCACCTTGAGGATGGTGCCTCATCCTGCCTAATTCATCTCCATGTCGCCAGGGATGTTGATTGACTGAGCAAGAAAGCAACCTTTTCACCATGAAGCCTTCTAAAGTTGGCCCCTGACTCCCACTAAACCCTAACTGGTCCATCTTCCTGAGATAGTGCTCTTTCTCCATCATTGGCATGTTACCCATCTTTAGGAACCTGTTCTTCTGAAATCCAGCATGTCTATTTCCTCCCTCTCCTGTTACAAACCCTTGGATAACCAAATGACCCGAGCCCTTTATCCCAAAGTTCCTATCTCGTCCTCATTACCACCCACCAGTTCCTCTGGATTGGGAATCAGTCACTCCAGGTGAGCAGGTGTGTCCCTTTCTCAGAGAGGTGAAATTGTCAGTGTGTCCCATTTGTGTTTGCCCATACCATGCACTGAGTAGAGTGGGACTCACAGCAGGTGTATGGCTTTTCTTCCACCCTGCCTGTGGCTTGTTCCCTCTGGTCTAGAAAGACACATCCTTTCAGAAGCCATCTCCCTGGTCAGCTTTCCCTTCCTGAAGCCTCTTCTCAAAACCATACTTGAGGACTGGAAAATGAGAAACAAGCCCCACTCAGGCCTGCAAATCACTGAGGACAGAGCATTCCGAGCTCTTCTGGCAGCACCTGCCCGGGGTCTCGCACGCAGGAGCATGTTGCCGGCCTCCCAGCTCCATGACCTCCGTGGTCCATTGGTGACTTCTCCGGAAGTGCTTCTTCCATCGCTACATAGGCTTAGCTTTGCATACATCACTGTTTAAATTTAGTGTTTAAGGACACTGCCTGGTAAAATGTCCACTTAGGCAACAAGGCTCTTCCACAGGGAACCAATCTCCGAGTCAGGCTTCGTCAGCCCCTCTCATTGGTTCAGCAAATGGATCTAGGAACCACAGCCCAAGGAAGGTGCGTTTTCTTATCATTCCAGAGTATGTCAGCCTGGCTAAGAGTACACAGGCCTGTTGTGAAATTCCAGCTCTGCCCCAGTTCCTCTCCATGTGATCTGACACACGGACTCATTCTCTGAGCCTCAGTTTACACGTATGCAAAACAGAGACAACCATAGTACCTACTCCATAGGGTTGTTTTGAAGCCAAGGTAAAGCCATGTTCATGAAAGGCACCTTCAGTGCTGAGCATCTGCCGTTCTAAAGATAACCGCGCTTCAGCATCATCACCCCTCACTGCAGCAGCATTAATGTGGAGACTGAGGCCCAAAGAAGTTCAGTAATTTCCCCAAGACCACTAACCAAATATGTTTAGTAGAATTTATTAACCAGGGTTGAAACTCACGATCTCCACAGACATCTTGCTCTTTCTACTCCCCCCGCCCTGGTGCTTTCAGATCCAAATTGAAATACAATCTGTATTTGGTCAGAGGTAGAGAGAGAGTCTAGCACTAGTCAGAGTCACCATGGAATAAGGGGAGACTCCCTGGAAGTACAGATATTTGTAGTTCTGCCTTACATGGGTTGATCATGTCAGAGAATCTCTTCCCTGCATTTCTCCTGTGGGTGGAACCACTGGGAGCCTACAGGACGGGGATTTATCCTTCCTGTGCAGATAAGGGGACAAGAGAGGACCTGTGTCTGTCCACTCTGCCTTGGGCCCTACAGCCCTTAACCCCCTAATGTCCAAGCAAAGTCACAACATGGCTACTAACCAAAATTACCCATATTTAAGTTTTCCAAGTAAATTCTTAGCTCCAGCTTTCCAGCAGCATACTTTAATTTCAGGTATTCACTGTGACATTTGAAAGTAAGAATAGAGAAGCTGTTTTCTAACAAATTACATGTATACTATAGTTATGCCACTTTTCCCACCATGAACAAACATGATTTTTACTTAAGTTGGTATAACCGCATATAGGCTTGGGGGAAAATGCTTGTTTAATGAGTTAGGATTTAACTGACAGAAGGATCTATGATGGGATGGACAGCCTAGCCGTGAAGTCTGCTTAGAAGCCAGAGGCAGGTGCTCAGATGGCTTACAGGACAACCTGCAGGTTTTGGAAGGGGGGCGATAGAAATTGGGGAGGGTGGTGGGATCAGCCCATCTGTGGGGACAGCAGAGACATATTGAGAGACACTGGGGGGCCATAGGAAGAGTGCTAGACTGCATCACTGCAGCCCCATGGCCTTGGGCAAGTCACTTAATCCCAAGTAGCCCTGGGTTCCTTGTCTGCTGTGTGGGGATATCACCTCCTTAGGACTTCAGCTAAGAAAACCTTCAAAGGCTTCAGAGACACTGCTCCAGTGAGAAAGGATTCATCTCGGTTTGGGAATCCCTTAATCTGGGTTTTTGTGGAACCTCTGATCACTCTTACTCAAGCTGGTGTGTAACCCGTGACAGCAGCAGAAGTAATGGCCACCCCTGGCCTGCCCCCCGACCCCACAGTGCCTAAGCACTGCACACCACCTCTGGCCGCCTCACCAGCCCTGAGGCAGGAGCCATCTCCATCTTTTCGGTGGAAAACATGAAAATCAGAGAGGTTAAGTAACCGGTTCAACATCATCTGGCTGACAAATGGAGGAGGAAAGGATCCCGGCGGAGTTGTGCGTGACACCAGATGTGTGCCTTTAACTGCTGTGCCTGGAGCCGCCTCCTCAAAAGGGTGGGGAGGATGGTGGAGGAGAAGTACAGGAGGAGGGACCTCAGGGACTGGGGGAGGGTAGAGAGGTTGCTTACAGGCCAAGGTCCTGCTGCTCTTCCTGCAAATGGCCCCTGGTGATGAAGACACTGAGTCTCTCCTCCTCCTCCAGGCTGCAGCCCGGGGTTGAGCCGAGACCTGTGGCCGGACCCCTGGCAGGCTGCCCCCACCCCACCCTAAGAACACAGACAGCTGATCAGACTGAACACAGACAGTTTGTTTTCTTCCCTCAGCTCTCTTGGGTGTGCATGAGAGTTTGCCTAAGTCAGCCGCCTGTCCAGGGTTAACTGCTTGCACGGACACCCCACAGAAGGGGCTTATTCACTCTTGGTGGTTTCTTTACAGACCAAATGTCACCAGTACTGGCCGGATCCCCCCGACGTCATGGACCATGGCAGCTTTCACATCCAGTGTCAGTCAGAGGACTGCACCATTGCCTATGTGTCCCGAGAAATGCTGGTCACAAACACCCAGGTGAGCTGCAGCCAGAGAGGCACAGTGGTGGGGCAGGTGCTGAATCAGCAGCCGCTGTCATCCCAGGTGGTCCCGCTTCTGGGTGTGCTCTCTGTTTCCACCTGGCAAGCATTTCAGCACACAAGACTGCCCATCAACGAGGCAGGACCCAAAGTTCGTAGTGGCCCTAGTCACAAGAGGCACAAGCAGCCCAGTGTCCATCAACGGAGGAATGGATAACAGTGCACAGTCTGTCCATATAATGGAATATGATTCAGCTTTTAAAAAGGAAGAGACTCTGACCCCTGCTACAACAAGGGAACCTTGAGCATATTATACTAAGTGAAATAAGCCAGACAGACAAATACTGTAGGATTCTACTTCTGTGAAGTGCCTAGAGTCATCCAATTCATAGAGACAGAAAGTAGAACAGTGGTTGCCAAGGGCCTGGGGAAGGAGGAGAAAGGAGATATGTGGACATTATGCCATATGGCATAATGGGTGCAGGGTTTATGTTTGTGGGATTTTTAAAGTTCTGGAAATAGATAGTGGTGATGGCTGTACAAAATTGCGACTATTCTTAATGCCACTGAACGGGACATTTAAATGTGGTTACAGTGCCTCGTGTTATGTATATTTTGCTACAGTTAGAGATTGTTAGCATGTGTGGCCCCTAATAGCAAGTACCATAGGAGAAATGGAGGAAATCACTGGGCACAGTGATCAAGGAAAGCAGGCCTGCAGGACAGGCTACGGCTGAGCCTGAGAGGGGATGGAGATCTTTGGGGAAGCAGGGAAGGAATTGGTAGGGGCCGCAGCAGGGCTGCACACCAGGGGAGAAAGCATCAGAAGACAGGGCCCCTCTGGTGTCTGGGTTGGGGCTGGGTGGGCTTACCAAAACCACCGCGTCTCCCACAGACCGGCGAAGAGCACACAGTGACACATCTCCAATACGTCGCGTGGCCTGACCACGGTGTGCCCGATGACTCCTCTGACTTTCTGGAATTTGTAAACTATGTGAGGTCCTTGAGAGTGGACAATGAGCCCGTCTTGGTTCACTGCAGGTATGGCACCTGTTGTTTTGTTAGGTTTGGGATACTTTTACCTGTTGGGAAAGGCCTGGAGAGAATTGGCAGGCACCAAACCCACCCTATATCCCACAAAGTAGTGTGCTCTTACAGACCTCTGTTGACTGTAGTTCTTCACTATTTCAAAAGTGATTTGGAATTTTATGAAATCCTAAACTTGTGAATGCAGCGCAGAGCTGACGAAGAAAGTCCCCCGCACGCCCTTTCTCCTGCCCTCTGTCAGCTGACCTTCATCATAGATATGAGTGAGAAAGGGAGGGGATTTGGCACTTAGCACTGGCTCTCTCTCCACTGGCTGTTAGCCCCCAGCCTCGGCTGTGTGAGGATAGGCTGTCTCAGCCTGTTTGAGAGCGCACCCTGAGTGCATTTTGTCTTCTCCAAGGCCAGGAGAGGAAAGCCCCTTCTGAGTCAACACTGGGCCATGCAGAAAGGCTACTCAGACAAATCCCAAATCTGTCTCCTCTCCCCTTTCCAGTGCTGGAATAGGTCGAACCGGTGTGTTGGTCACTATGGAAACAGCTATGTGCCTAACTGAGAGGAACCTGCCCGTTTACCCCCTGGATATTGTCCGAAAAATGCGAGACCAGCGCGCCATGATGGTGCAGACATCAGTGAGTAGAAATCCAGTAATAATGATGGCTGTCTCCTTCTGAGCACTTACACCAGGCAGGCCTGAGAGGAGGGCTTCGTCGGTCAAGAGACTGCAGCTCAGGGGACTGAACCACTTGCCCAGATTCTCAGAGCTTGTCAGTGGCTACAACCCACACCCATCTCCCTTCTGAGCTCTGCTGCCTCTGTGGTTTGTCCTACCAGCCCGTCTGTCAGGGAGGAGCCCTGGTTGGATTCTGTATCATTGAACCATCGTTTCTACATCACCTTCCTACCTAGACCTGGGTACTCCTTTTGGCTCCGTGCATGTTTCATATGACCCTACTTTGAGATCTGTCCCACCCATGTGGTCCCTGAGTACCTGCACAGTCCTCCATGGGTGGAACAGCTCAAAGCAGGGTCATGTGCCACATTCTCTTGTCCTCAAGAGGAACCCTTGGGGATTTCCCCTGGAACTCCAAGCAGGGCGGTGACGCGGTGTGGAATGAGCATGATTAAGGCTCCACACAAATGGGGGAGTTGGCACTCAGGAAGTATTTACAAATGCTGCAAAAGACCCACCGGTACAGGGTGGGCAGCATTTCCTGAAGCTACGGGACTTAACAGCTTTGTTTTCTTTTCCAGAGCCAATACAAGTTTGTGTGTGAAGCGATTCTTCGTGTGTATGAAGAAGGCTTAGTCCAGATGCTGGATCCTAGTTAAGACAACTGTGAAAACGTCCGTTCCTCTTTCCCAAGGCCATCCTCCTTGAGAGAGGAGGGCAGACCTCCTCTCTGGAAGCAGCAAGAGGAACCAGTAGCTGTGGGAAAGGAATGGGCACCTCTGAACCCACGCACTTTAAATTTCTGTAGAAAAGACATTGTGTACATAGGAACTGGTGTAGATAAGCATGCATTTATGGCATCATTTAGGCCTGTATTTCTATGGAAAGATACAAAAGGGATCTCAGTTTGGGGCCTGTCCTAATGCCTTCTTCCCTAACATCACCACACACACCCCTGTTGGCATCCTGGAGCAATTGAGACGGGACACCCACAGAGCTGTTGACCTCCCAGCAACAAGATGGTATAGTTATCTCGGGTCGTTTGGATGTTTTGTTTCTGTGTGTCAGACTATAAGGGCTGAGCTTTCTGTATTTCTAGGTGGAGCTGGAACAACTCAGGTTCACCTGCACTGATGCTAAGGAAACCCTGACAAATATACTAAATGGCAGGGTGCTGGGGGTCAGGCTGAAGGCTGAGCAGCACCTCTCTGCCCTCTCTCCCTTTGTCTCATCTCCCGGCAACTTCTGATACTCATGTTTCTGAGAATCGTATCCCCCTTCAGGTTTCCTCTTGGTGCCTGACCTGGATTTGTAATGTGCATTCAGGTGAGTTTTCAGCTGAGACTCTGAGAACTGGGACCCTCAGTATGTTCTGGTCATCTCGTGGCTTAGTTGTAGAAGCAGGTGTGTCTCTTGTCTCTGCTTGCCTCCTACTGCACACTCAGCACCCAGGACTGGAATCACTGACTACTGAATCTCCTACATGTATTGCTGCTACTTCAAGTTCCTACACTTGAAACTTTATGATTTTTCCAAGGGGAGATGGGACAATGTCATCTAAATATTCTGAATGTTTGGCCTTCGAGAAAAGAGCGTCTAGTAATTGAACCATGGGAAACTGAGCTTCTGGAGGGTTGGCCGTGGGGTGTGTACGTGTGTGTGCCCAGGGGTGAGTGTTTCTCAGGATTTCTAACAATTCAAATTACCGTTGAGTATACATAAAGAATGAGTCTCTGTATAGAAGAACAACTGTGTGCATTCACCCCCAGTTACAATGGTCTCCATTGCATTTCAAAGGAGAGGATCAGACTATCTGAATATAAATACAATCTGATGTTAATTTATTCTAAGACCATCACTTTGATCGTCCTAAAGAATTCTGCCTTTGTGAATACTGTGTTAAATTTTTTTAAATTTGTGACAGGATTGTAGCAAATTATTATTTAAGGAAAATAAATGGCATAAACATTTAATGTGGCATTTTTAAATAGTGGTTTTTATGTATTCAAAAGAGAGAGTTAAGCCAGGTTCTTAATGGTATTTATGGAAAAGATGTTTCCCTGTTATCATGCACAGAAATGAAGCCATTTTGATATTCAGCAAATTCGGTGCCAATTGAATAGTTTGCTGGTGGCAAGATGGATAAAGACCTATATAAGGGGGTGGGAGGACCCTAAAGATTCTTTATTTCCAGAGCTAGCATATTTACTTGCATGCTTTCCGTCTTTTCTACATGGATATTTTACTGCCAAGTGGCAGAGGTGGGAGGGAGATGTCACACAGTACCATAACCCCATACTGCAAAACAAGAAACCACCAGAAAGTTTGCAGCTGAGGGGCAGGAGACTCAGTTCCTGTTCCCACTCAGCACTAACTACTTGGGGGCCTGCTCACTTAGCAGCTCTACCTCTTTTTCATTATCTGTAAAATAAAAACAATACGTAGGACTTTAGATTGAACATGAGGATTGAATAAGATCATGCTATTCATGTGACTTCATCAGCTGGAATATCAACAGCCACTGCTGTGGATGAGTTACTTAGAAAAGTTTAGTTATCAGTGATTAGCCCAAAAACATAACAGTCAAAAGCAGAATCCACTGGATTTTTGTTTCTCTTTCTAGAGACAGGGTCTCGCTGTTGCCCAAGCTGGAGTACAGTGACATGATCATAGTTCACTGCAGCCTCAAATCCCTGGGCTCAAGCAGTCCTCACACCTCAGCCTCCTTGACATGGGCCTGCAGGTGCATGTCACCTCACCTGGCTCATTTTTTATTTTTATTTTTTTGTAGAGATAGGATCTTGATGTGTTGCTTGGGCTGCTCTAATTCCTGGCCACAAGTGATCTTCCCACCTCAGCCTCCCAAAGCGTTCAGATTATGGGCCTGAACCACTGCACCCAGCCTAACTGGGTTTTTATGAGAGGAAAATGGAAAATATTCTTCTAGAAGAGAGAGAACAAGAGCACAAAATAATCTGGACTCAGAAAAATTCAGCAAAGCTCCAAGGAAGAGGGGGTGGAGGGAACGCTGGCATAAATTTAAATGCCATTAGGATATTTAGCAAATCATTGCCGTTTTGATAAAAATGCATCATCACCCTGTGTGCAAAATGTTTGCAAAGTAGTCTGAATGTCTTTGGAGATGGGTGTTTTATTGTTTTTCTCCAAAACAAATTATTGTGGTTGCAGAAATGTTGCCGTTACGGTCACATATATTTTTGAAAAGCTTACGAGGAGGTTGCAGACAGTTTTTTCTGCCACTGGGCAGGCCAGCAGTTCTGATGCACCAGAAGTTGCCAGAAACAAAATCTAGAAAATACTGGGAAGAAGAAGACAAGAGAATTATCTAAAACAGCAAAAGACACAAGTAAATTATGTAGACATTACCACTTAAAATCGGTAGCTCCAGATTCCTGTATCACTACCTTATACACTTAAGCAATTATACTTAAGCCTTTTTTTTAGTCCTAAGTGAAGAACTGCATCAGAATCAGGATAAATATTTTGCCTGGGAAATTTGGCTGGATATGAATGGAGAAGACATTTACATCCTACGTTCTGGCACATTCTAGAAGATCTAATGAGGCTCCATATTGATGTGCCAATTTAATCAAGATGAGCGATCCCTGCTGATGTCACCTTCTAGAACCTGCACTTGGTGTTTTGACTTTGCAGAAGCAAAGATGCAACTCAGTTGGGTTGGGGGGGCAGTGGTCATATCACACACTTGTACTAGTCTTTCGTTTCCTACCACAGTAATTCATATTTGAATGCGCTTTTAGATTAGTGTGGATACCACTGCTGCTATGTTGCTGCTACTTGATCTTTCTCCTTTGGTCCCTCAGAAATGATCATTTGAGGGCAAGCAAAAAAGGCCTCATCATCCTCCAGAGGCAACAGAAATAGGGAAAGATTGTGAGAGGCAGGGTTTGGGTCTAGACCTGGACTTAGGCAAGATATATTGCCCTCAACCCTCAGTTTTCTTATATGTAAAAAGGGAAGGTTGGGCTGGATGAGGTGAAGTCAAGATTTGCCATTCTGGGAGCCTAATATTCCAGAGAACCAAAATTAATCCTAAACCAAAGCTTTATGGCTCCTACAGAGATGTGTCACATTTCTGCAACTTGTCACCAGGTGATTGTCCCTCAGACTGGCACTGTTAAATGCAAAGACGAGGATGGCCGCCCTCTGGTTCTTGCCTTTCATCCTCCGCTGAGAGCAGTCTCGGTAAAAATGGCAAAGATTCTGTGACCTCAGACCAGGGACAAAATGCTTGGGAATCTGATGGCCTGGCTGAGCCACCATCCTCATAGCTCCCATTCTGTTTGGAGCAACCAAAGAATGTGTGTGAAGTTATTTGGGAAAGGATCATAATTGAGCAGCAATCTGTTTTCTGTATATTTGGAATGTTTTTCATTCTGACCTGTTCTATCAGTGATTCTACTGAAAAACAATTTGATCGATATAAAAATGTTCAAGCTATACAACACTGTTATTGTCCACTGATATTTTTATTCTAATAGATTTCTGCAAATATTTTCTTGTATTTGCTTTTTCCTTTCATTTTTAAATGAACTCTTGGAAGAGAGTGCTCTCTGCTCATCTCCACCTTCCCTCTGGTCAGGAGCATGAACTCCCATGTTGGCCTTGACCTGGTGTATTAGTCCATTCTCATGCTGCTAATAAAGACATACCTGAGACTGGGTAATTTATGAAAGAAAGAGGGTTAATGGACTCGCAATTCCACAGGGCTGGGGAAGCCTCACAATCCTGGTGGAAGGCGAATGAAAAGCAAAGTCACATCTTACATGGTGGCAGGCAAGAGAGCTCGTGCAGGGGAACTCCCATTTATAAGGCTATCAGATCTCCTGAGATGTATTCACTGCCACGAGGACAGTGTGGGGGGAACCTCGCCTATGATTCAATTATCTCCACCTGGCCCTGCCCTTGACACTTGGGGATTATTACAATTCAAGGTGAGATTTGGGTGGGGACACAGCCAAACCATATCACCTGGTGTGGCAGATTCTAGATGCCAGTTAGGTTCCACCATCCTGACAAGAGTAGCTTTCACATAGCACAAGTTCACCTTTTGTCCTGCAGCAGTGCCAGAGTGGCTCCGTGGTCACTGGGGCCCCATGTTCCTCGGCCATCCTCAGTCTGCTGCTCCACTTCACATTGCAGCTAGCAGGAGGGAGGCAGGGGGAGGAGAAAAGCATGACCGCTCCCTGGAGGGGGCGCCACCTGGATATGGTACATCCTGTTGATCAGAACTTCATCACAGGTCCATGCCTATTGCAAGGAAGAGTTGAAGGTCAATTTTACTCCAGGAAACCATGTGCCTAACAAATTCAGGGCTTCTGTCTCTGAGAAACAAAAGAATAGGTTTGAGGGACAATGAGTGTTCTCTGCCATAGCTCAACCCTTTGGCTGCCCTTCTTTTCTGACATAGAGTCTGCTCTGTTGCCCAGGCTGGAGTGTAGTGGCACAATCAACAGCCCACTGCAGCCTTGATTTCCCAGACTCAAGCAATCCTCCCAACTCAGCCTCCCTAGTAGCCGAGACTACAGACATGTGCCACCACACCCAGCTAATTTTTTAAAATTTTTGTAGAGACAGGATCTTGCTATGTTGCCCAGGTTGGTCTCAAACTCCTGGGCTCAAGTGGTCCTCCCATGTTGGCACTCCCAATGTGCTGGGATTACAGGCATGAGCCACTGCACCTGGCCCACCACAGCTTCTATAGCCTGCTTACTCCTTGGGCAGTTTGGGGGAGTCCCCAAGGTTACTTTCATGGTTCAGGAAGACCAGGCATGCAATTTCTTAGACAATAGAATCCATCAACTACTCACAGCTGAAGATCTGCTCTGCTCCTGCCTCTTCGACTTAAATGTGGCTGCCTTGAGGCTGCCTGGAAGAGAAGCATGGGTGGGAGCAACACCCTTAGTCTGGTCTTTGAAGCAGCCTGGTTTGCATTTTCAGGCAGAGAAGCTTTATCTGCACTAAGGCTGCCATTTCAAGGGCACTGCACTTAATAGCTGCAGTTTGAAGGACAAAAGCAGTTGTCATTTTCAAGCTTCAAGACTTGAGTCAACTTGAGTGCAGCTATTGACAGCGCCTCTCTGAGCAAAGCAAGATTTCCTCCCATCTTAGCTGCCTATGATTGCTATACAGGAATGCCTGAGGCTGGGCAATTTATAAAGAAAAAAGGTTTATTTGCCTCACGGTTCTGCAGACTGTACAAGAAGCATGGCACCCACATCCGCATCTGGTGAGGGCCTCAGGCCTCTCCCACACCTGGTGAAAGGTGGAGGGGAGCAGGTGTGTGCAGACCACATGGAGAGACAGGAAGCAAGAGAGAGTGGGGAGAGGGGCCAGGCTCTTTTTAACAACCTGCTCTCACCCAAATGAAGAGAGTGAGAATTCACCCCATCCCCAGGGAGGACATTCATCTCTTCATGAGGGATCCACCCCTATGACCCAAACACCTCTCTTTAGGCCCCACCTCCAACATTGGGGAATGCCTTTCAACGTGAGATTTGGAGAAGATAAACATCAGCTGCAATACCTCCTATCTCTGCTTGCAGGCTGGCTGGCTGTAGCCCCAGTTCATCTCACGTATGTAGGACTGTGAAAAACAACAAGGAGCAACATTCACACTTTTTCATCCTCCCACCATTTTCTCTTCAGTCTGCCTGTGGTCCATCTTCCACATACCCAGTAGCAGATAACAATTTCATCAATGTTAGCCATTAGACAAAAGGCAATATTTATATCTTTGCCATCTATCTGCTGGCCCAACAATTCCACTAAGCCAGTGCCACATTTTAGATGCTACTTGAGCATTTGGTCTTCAGGTATCAAATTCTGAATCTAAGAGTCAAAGTAAAGGTGATTCAAGCAAAACAGCCTATTTCTCTCTCACATAAACACCAGCAGCCCAGAGCTGGTACCACTCACCAAGGACCCAGGT